GAGATGCATTCCTTTTACGTAGATCCAAAATATATGTGTTTATCAATCCAGAAATTGTCGTAAAGTTTTAGAACAAGACAGACTATAATAAATTTGTCAATGTTAGGCTTTAAATGAAGATTAAACGTAGTACAACAAAAGTCAATGCAACCTGGCTTCGGGACAGGCAATCACAAAAATGGACGATATAGTGGTGTCACATATGCCTGCAGTAGCAAGAGCCGTCTGAAGTGCATACGCAGATATCACGCCTTTTGTTGCATTACGTATCGACACGATGTATCGACCTGAGCCAATTAGCTTATAAAATGTGCTCATTACTTCAGAGAATAAAAGAGTTCAATGACTGCCTGCTTGATAAACACGAGCAGATGTTACGATCAATCCAAGTAAAACAAAGAACTTTAAAATAGCTCCATAAACAGCAAACTTGATAAGGGTGAATAACTATATCAGGAGCCAAGTAACACTAAAGATGTGAATATGAGGTAAAATCTCCTTAAAATGTTTACAAAAACAAGGGCATAAATCAATTCAGGAGATAGCTTCATGCAAATATGATAATATCTGACTATCTAAGATTCCCGAATGTAAATCATCTACGTTCATCACGATTCACTCTGAATTGAAAATAGCGTTTAAAATAAATTGATGAATTAATTGCCGTTATTAGTTAAAGGCAACATTAAGATATATAAATATTATGTATATATATATATGAAGAAAATAATATAGCAAAAATAAGGCATAGAGATAAAAGCTATATGAGATGTATTCACTCTATTTCGTTTAAGGTTATGAAGGACTAGTAGGAGAATTTTCCCACAATGATATGAGTAGAGCTTACGTTTTCATTGAATTTTACATAGCCTTGCTATCCCAAAATTTGTTCTCATCCAGAGTGGACTGCAGTTTTGACCTCGCATGGGTCTTATCAACAACCCTAGCGAGAGTCGAATCGTGAAATTGCAGCATGCGAGCTGGACACGTTAACCACTCGGCCACATTGCCACGAGTGACCTTGGGTCACAGGACAGACATCAATTTCAAGGAAGGCCAGGTCTTTTCATATCACATCCTTTGTTGGGATTGTTGATGAAGCAAACGTATTTTTGCTATAACAATCGATGAAATTACTTATTTTTCGTATGAGTAGAGTGTCTAGACTACCAGTAAATCAATTATGAGATGTATTCACCCTATTTCGCTTAAGGTGATGAAGGACTAGTAGTAGAATATTCCCGCAATGATATGAGTATAGCTTACATTTCTACTCCCGCTAGGGGTGTTGATAAGACAGATGCGACGCAGAAACTGCAGTCCACCTTGGATTATAACAACTTTTGGGAAAGCAAGACTATGCAAAATTCAATGGAAACGTCAGCTCTAGTCATAGCATTGTGGGAAAATTCTACTACCAGTCTTTCATCACCTTAGACTAAATATTTTTAATACAGCTCATATAAATGATTTACTGGTAGTCTCGATATTCTACTTATACGAAGACTAGAGATAAAAGCTTTGCAAGTGGGATCTATTAAAAGAATAAAAGTTAATAAACCCTGAAGATAGATCAGGAGGATAGCTAGGTTGGTGAGAGATCTATCAAAGCCATACTAATAATAGCCAAAACAGTCTTATATTGAGTGCAAAGATGAAAAGGGGGTATGAAAAACAATAGATATAAAACCTAGAAAATATAAAATGCCGGAATAAATATGGGGTCATCAATGGATGTTTTAACATCAGATGGTTTGCCTAAAAGTGTTGCTCCGATGCGGTATCAAAATAAAAAATTTGCATGAAAGAATTATGCCAATGAAAAAAAGTATCTTAGCAGTATATCTCCAGTTGATAGCTATGCATATATGCGAGCTTTCGCCAAAGACAATTAGCGCTTACTTGAGAGCTTTATAGATGGGTCGGTACCATCCTAAGAAGGCAAGTGGCGGCATGAGTACGAAAATTATTATAGCAACACCGAAGAGGGGGCCCTCATTTCCAGTTGTGCCAACAACAAAGTATGCGAGGGTACCGAATACATTGATGAAGAGAAGCAGTATGTAGAAGAGCCAGAGGTAGTATGTGTAGCGAGCCAACCAGCGAGTGGCAGCTGGGATGTCAGCCTCGAAATCGAGTCGAACGCAAGGGTGGCAAGGGCACCATGAAGGCAAAGGCGGCCAATTACGAATATCTTCTATTAGAAAGAGGGATGAAATAGCATAAGTAGTGATAAAATCACAAAGCATGTAGCATGATAAGGGATATGAAGTGCACAAAAGAGGAGGCGAATTCAGTGCGATAAAATTAGTAAGGTAAAATTGCAATATATTTGTCTGCGTAGCAGATCATATGCAGAAAACTGATTTTAGAAGAATTCCTCAACAGATTGATTTCATTATATCTTCATTTCATTTGAAGCAAGCCTAAACAGGATTGAATCCTGCAACCGTTTTTGTCTCCGTGTTTCGTAAATTATCATAATGTCAGTCATATGACGAATGAAAACTCAACAAGGATCCATCGGCATCGTGGGACGGTGACCGTGGACTTATTCACACGAATCTAAAATAATATCTCCAGGGCAATTCTGCTTAGGCTTTCAGTGAGGCCAACCTATGAATACATTCGACTCAAATCTTTAAATGAAATAAAAGGCATTTCAAAATTACGCAGATAATGTTTACAGTAATAAACGGAAGTAGCTAGAATGATGTGAAAGACAAAATCAAAATGAGAAACCTAAGCTAAATTTTTTATTCATTTCAGAAACATTAATTTTTCTCTGACATTATATCCATATTAAGCTCTCTGATGAAAAAAAAGATAGTGATTCATTTTAAGAATAATAATTTAATGATATTTACGTTCACTATCTTGATATACTCATATTGAGGGTAAGTAGGTTTTAAAGAAATATTAAACAAGTCTTTAAACACACTAAATATGAATATAAGTACCGGAGTCGATTTTAATGGCTTAATCGGCAATCTCACAATTGCATTCCCTGACATTCACGTCTGTCTTAAGATCTACTAGGATACTTAACAGTGTAGTTTAGTTAGCAGGCCAAAAATATACGCCGCAGCACCCGGGTGAGATGCCCAATGTTGGGTGCTGGTGAGTTATAGGCGAGATCAAAACTGCACTCCATCCTGAGTTATAAAATTGTTTGAAAAGCAGTTAGGTAAATTTCCATGGCATCTTGAGGCCAGTACATAATATTATGGGAAAATTTAAATGTCAATTCATCATCACCTTATGGGATCTAGGATGCCTAAAGGTTTTATTTTAGATCAAGCCTGTTTGGCTTTAAATATATTTGGTTTTCATGAAGAAAGTTGTTGGATAAATAAAATATATGTATACTCAAACACTCAGCTGGTGAATTTTTACTAAGAAGAGTACACATTGACTTAGACTTTAACATTAATACCATTAGCACTCATAGGTGACAGAAAATGCCGGAAATATAAATTATTTTTCTGAATAATAACTATAGATTTGACCCATATCCTAGGCTACAGAAATAAGAGGATTAATATAGGATTAAATGCTTATAAATAAAGGCATATATTAGCATTTCAGGATCATACACTAATTTATTTAAGTAAGAAAATAGCTGTGACCACATCCGCTCTCTTTTCATTCATCAACTCCACTAGTCTGCCTGCATTTAGGGTAGACACGAACTATCCAATCAAATCAAAAAATGTCTCATTAAGATAACAAATTATGGCATAATAAGTAAGCAGTATTTCAGCAGACCACCTGTCTTGGTTTAATATAGTTGATGAATCTTTCGTAGACGAGTGTTTCTGGCTGTGACGATGAAAGGCTAAATTTCAGCACGAATTCTTCACAATCGCAGGACGGTTAGCACAGGCCTCCATCTTAAGTCGTAGTCACAAATTGAAGGCGATCCTCCTTCGGTATCAGATGCGGCCAATTTACGAATCCCCCCCATCGGCATTTTCAAACGAAATGAAAGGTACCTCAGCGTCAATCTATTAAGGGATTCTCTGAGATACAGCCTTTCTTCATAAATTATTTAGGCCAAATATGGGCGTTATATTAACAATCAAATAATCAAGAGTATGAGCAGTCCTCTCAATCTGAATGGAGGAGGAAGAAATATATCTCATGTGGTTCTTGTAAGGAATAAAACCTCCTTCAATAAATAGAAAAGCTAAGCCATCCATTACATGATAAGCAGGGCAAATAGTAAATTATTTTTTCATAGATTGAAGGGATACAGCACCAGCTTAACCAAATTAAAAACATATCAAGTATTTTAGGCTAATAAATATAAAGAAATCCGTCATGGCATTTATTATTGAATTATCAGATAAAATAAAAATAAATTAATCAAAATTGATCGGATTGTTATAAAGAATAAGTTGGTCATTCCAATGGGAGGCAATTTA